AGATACATTTTTTAGTACACAACCAAAAAAACCTACTGTGCATTTAATAGATGATCTTGGGCATGTCATTTAACACCTTGGATTAGAATTTATTCATCTGTATTCCAAAGTGATTAAACTAGAAATCTCCAACAGCCTCCTTTAAGCTTTAAGGTCTAAGAACCTAAAAATAATATTCCCTCAAATAATCATTTTGAAAGTAGGTAGACATTTTGCAATAAAAACATAAAACTGATTTATATTCCTTTATTTTCCTTAGAAAGCAGCTCCATCATTTTTACCATTGGAAACCTACTTTCCAGATCCTTCATATCAGGGATCACTCATTAATTATTAGTCTCTGGCCTACAGTGAATAAACATAAGTTATGGGAAGACTTATGTCTTCAGGAATATAATTTTTGTGTCTCAGGTAAGTTCTGTCACTTAAATTCTAAGTGAAATCTTAGCAAATTACTCAGATCAATTTTATAGAAGTCTCAAAAATAAGTGTATTTATGTATTTTGGCTCACTGTAGAGTTACCATTTATTTTGCCCGCTGAAAGCACCAACTGACAATGCATGTAAAACACAAATTTGAATTACATAATGTTAATTACATAATCTCCTCATTATTTGCTAACAACAATAATTCTATTTTTTTCAATTTTTAGAAATATAATATGTATTTTAATGACAATGGATGAGGCCAAAATTAAAGATAATTTAATATGGAAAGAAGATAGTTATTACTAATCAAACAGTATTTTTGAGATCCCATTTCATGCAAAGAAGTATTTGGAGAAATACTTACAATAGTGCAACATATATATCATTTTAAACTATGAATATACAGAACATTTGAAGACCTCTTTTATCTTAACCAACTGGCAACCCTTTTCTCATAAACACTTAATACTTTCTTTTGAATTATCTGTCTCAAACATTTTAATATTGGTATTTTTCCTTTATAATTTTTTGTATCTTTCTGTGTCATTTCCCAATGATTACTAAATGGGCATGCTACAGCTAATGTAAATTTTGATAGTGGCAGTAGGCATGCTTAATACCCAGGGGAAATTAGAGAATCCTGTGGAGAATTGTCCAGCAATCAACCTTCTTTGTCATTAATAAACAATTTGTTCTGAAAATTTTTATTAGACTGTAGTTCCTTTACACTGTTGTGTTAATTTCTGCTGTACAGCAAAGCAAGTCAGCTATATGTATACATATATTCCCTTGTTTTTGGATTTCCTTTGCATTTATGTCACCATGGAGCACTGAGTAGAGTTCCTTGTGCTATATAGTAGGTTTTTATTAGTTATCTATCATTTTCTTCTCAAGTGCACAGAGAACATGCCCACTATAAATAACTAATTTAAAAAGAGAAATAAGCCAATGCATTTTTTAAAATGAGCCAATAAAATTTTTACTTTGACAATTATATAAACATAAAAATTTTACTTAGGGCTTCCCTGATAGCTCAGTTGGTAAAGAATCTGCCTGCAATGCAGGAGACCCTGGTTCAATTCCTGGGTCGGGAAGATTCTCTAGAGAAGGGATAGGCTATCTACTCCAGTATAGTTGGGCTTCCCTTGTGACTCAGCTGGTAAAGAATCCACCTGCAATGCAGGAGACTTGGGCTCAATCCCTGGGTTGGGAAGACTCCCTGGATGGAAAGGCTACCAACTCCAGTATTCTGGCCTGGAGAATTTCATGGGGTCACAAAGAGTTGGACACAGCTGAGCAACTTTCATTTTTAAAAAATTTTACTTAAGGAATAATTTCTCAATTTTAGAAAAATAGTTTTAAAGTTAGGGAATTCTATAAGATATATATATATATATATATACATATATATATATATATATATATATATATATATAGAGAGAGAGAGAGAGAGAGAAACAGAGTGCTGAGAAAATATTTATGTAAGGAAAAATAAGTATGTACAATTTTAAGTCAATATGAAGTTGTATGATAGTGGTTGGTGGAAAATATCAAAGCTTGCTTAAATCATATGAGTGATACAATTTAAAGTCTATAGTTTAACAAGAAGGTGGAATCTTTTAGGACTGAAATGATTGGAGAAGGCTTTTGTCAAAGAAGTGGTAATTTTACTTGGGTCTGAACTACTTGATAGACATTTGATAAGCAAAGGTATAAGAGAATAGGACTGCAATCAGAGGTAATAATATAGCAAAGGAAAAATGCCTAGGACAGATTGGTTTCCACAAAAGACTATCATACTTAATGATTGAAAAGAAGAACATGAGGGTGGTGTTCAGAAATTAAAGAAATATTTCAACCTTAGAAAATTTTCTTATGCATGCATGACTATTTTTTTCAATTGGATAATGTACAAATCACAGATGCAACAGGTTAGACCAGAAGAAAGGGAAACTGACCAAAAAGAAAAATTGCTGACAAACTTAAGAGGAATCTTAGAGTCCACTGACCTGCACATTTTTCCTTTGCCTTAAAACTAAGCCTTGCCTCCCAAGATTTCTCATGATCATTTGTTTCAATTCACTTGGACTAGGCATTCTGTTCCCCAAACAAGCACACAGTTTCCCTGCCTCTGCATTTGCTGTAACAATTTATCCGATAGTTCAGAGCCAAGTCAAATACTACCTCCTCAGCAAAAAACTTCTCCAATGATCTTAGTCCTAAATGATAGTTTCTTTCTATTTTATTATTAAATTCAGATTGCACCACTTGCATGATACAAGCAACTTTTTGATTTATAAATATGTGTGCATCTGTTTGCTTTATCCTAAATTTTTAAGGGCAGAAACTGTGATGCAACTTTGCATACCTCAGAGTTTTATAGTTTTATAGACTAGTCCATAAAAATAAAATCCAACTCACAAAATAATGCTAAATGCAAATTTGTTGAATGTGTTCCAGTGTTGACACATTTTTTATTCCTTTCATGCTTCTCCTTATCCTTATGAAGCAATCCTTATATTGAACCCAAATTTTGTGTTTACTTTCTAACTTTTGGTAAATAAAATGATTGAAACATATCTAGGTTCACCCAAAAATGCCTTCACCAAAGACCACTACAATATTGTAAAGTAATTAGCCTCCAATTAAAATAAATAATTTTTTAAAAAGAAAAAAAGAAGCATCTAGAATCTAGGAATGATCCCAATAACTGTGGGGAAAGGAAGAAATTTAAATGTCTTTCTGATTTACCTACTTAAATCAGAATGCATTGCGGTTGGAGGAGAGAAACCGAGCTGCAGTCAGTCTTTACTACCTGATCTGTTTAATTCCACACTGTAGGTGAGGGGAAGAATGGGCAATGGTATAAATGATGGGTTCTTCTCTTAGGCTGTATTTCAGTTTGAAGGGATTATTTGGTATTCTATAGCAGCTATGAATATTCCTTTTTTAAAATGATTATTATAATTTTTAATCCACATGAACACAAATGGATTTCTTCTTTTAAGTAACTGTTCAAAAGGTTAATTTCCTTTTTTAATCAACCTTTCAGCATAGGGATTTCAGCTGTTGTTGGAACATGGTTAAACCCAATTAGCTGTTACTAAAAACCAAACCAAGGCATTCTGAGAAAGTGGTTCAAAATCCTACATTTTTGCCCATTATTATCTTCAAGTACCTTATTCACCAATCCACACCCCCATTCTAGCAAATTTTAGGGCTCATGAACTACCTTTGAAAGCAAATAAAGGCCTCTTCTAAAGTAGAAAGCCACCTAAAGATAACTAAGACTAGGGTGAGGTTAGGGGGCACTCAGACACAAATGATAAGGGGCACCCCAAAACTCAGTAATAAAGATAAATGTTTAATGCACTACTTTAAAGAGCTAATTAAAGATTTTTTTAAAGTTCATTGATAAACAAAATATCAATTTTAAATAAAAACAAGATCCTACCTTACACTTGCGGGCCTTCCCAAGTGGCACTAGTGGTAAAGAACTCGCCTCCCAATGCAGGTTACATCCCTGGGTCAGCCCTTGGAGAAGGCCATGGGAATCCACTCCAGTATTCTTGCCTGGAGAATCCCATGGACAGAGAAGCCTGGAGGGCTACAGTCCACAGGGTTGGAAAGAGTTGGACATGACTGAAACGATTTAGAACACATGCACTCTACACTTGCATAATTCACCTCAACGGCCTCATCCTAATCTCCTGAGTCTGGGGTGCATCCTTAAATTTGCACCAGAAGTGAGTGCTTTAATTGCTTTATCCTAGTCCAGGCTCTGTGTCCTAAATACTTTCATGTATGGTATCTTCCCGAGTTCCTTCACCAAATGCCACCTTTGGATTCATAATCCATTGTATCAGCCTTTTTCCTCTAGATAGTCCTGTGTTATTACCTCACACAGAGTCCCATTAAATTCTTGGTGAACTCCCACCAAGTGGGATAATGGCATCTATCAGATGTCCCCACCTTCAGGTTCCTCTTGCTCTTACAGTTTCAAGTTTTGAGGCTCTCCGTCTGTGAAAGATGCCCCGTTTTGGCACCCTGATCCTGCCAGGACCACAATTCTAGTGTGGCGCAAAGTCCCCACAACCTGAGAAACAGCTCCACTCTTTTCTACTTTCTAAACGAGTACTCGTCTCATGTTATCTACATCCTCCTGCCAAAGGTAGAATGGAAAGATTGGAGCCTAGGCCCAGTCCTATCTGAAAAGCACTTTCCTTCCAGGAAGAAACTTTTGGAGACCGTGGAGAAAGCAAGTGCAGTGACTTTCTCCTGTTATCACTACATAAAGGAAAAAAAGAAAAGAGAACCGATAAGGACAACCCCAGCTTTCCCGCCAGTTTTATGCTTCAGCCCTTTGTGTCCACTAAGTCAAGGTGCTCCTCTACCCCACCAGCAGTCGGAGCAGGCAACCTTCGAGGGCTTCAGGAGTCCGTGGGCCACGCCCCCTGGGCTTGTCACTCCCCTTATTGGTCTGACAGCCTGTCACTCCAATTTGGCTCCCATTCCTGCTAACCATTCACGTAGTCCGGTTGTGTCTTGGTGCGCTTAATGTTGCCAATAACGAGAGTTTTTTTTTTTTTTTTTTTTTTGAAGGCAAGTACAGGTCGTACTTTAAGTAGTTCATTGAAAACCCAGTTGCTCTCTGAGCGGTCGTGTATAGACTGCTTTCGGCTTTTTTTCTGCTGACTGCTAAGATCTCCTATAGAGAGCTGCAACAATGCCCAAAAGAAAGGTAAGTGAAATGGGAAGATAGAAGGGGTATTAGCGACTGAAATACATATTTCCTAATCGACAGAGACTTTTTTAAAAAGCATTTTGGCTTCTAGTTCGATTTTGCGAGGTGCCTAAGGGGAGGGAAGGGCAAATATCGGTTAGTATAAGGTTGAGGATGGTCTTTCACGCAACTGGTAGTTCACTTTTGGCGTGTTTTGTTTAAGGGAAAGAATCGCTTGAGAGGTGTCTCCATGCTGAATTACAAACAGCCATAGCGCTGTGCTGTCGCTTCCTACCCCACCCCCGTTCCTCCGCTTACCCTATTGGAGAACGCTTCTCCCAACCACACTTTCAGACACTAATTTCCTCCTCAGCCTCCAGCTTTCCTCCGGGAACCGTCCCGTTTCGGGGTACGAAGGCCATGGCTTTCTCCCGTATTTATTTGCCTTTGTTCTTCCCGTTTTCTTTTTCTTTTTTTTTTTCCTTCCTCCACTTCATGTCAAGCCAGAGGGCTTTGCAGTGGTAATCCTGTGCCATTAGGCGGCGCAGACTTCAAACTGTCCTGGAGAAGGTAGAGATTCACCGCTGTAATAGCAACTTTAGGCCCAAGAGGTCTGAGACTCTCCAAGTTCACTGTCTAAATGTGGAAGAATGATAAGAGAAATGCGTCAGATAAACTATTGCTTATCTTGGGGTAGCGTGGATTTGCTCACTTTAGACACGAATAATTGATATGAGCTATTGAAGGGCTGCTGGTCTCCTGCAAACCCTCACTTAAAAAATCATGACTCCTCTCTTAGACAAGAAAGAAATTCACACTCAGTGTTGATCTGTTTGCTTGTTTGTTTGTTGGGGAGGCGGGTCCCTTAGAAGTGAAATCGATCGCTGTTTCGTTGCTTGATAAAACTGTAAAATACTGTGCTAATGTAAGGCGTTATGATTTTTTTTAAGTATTATTCCTCTCTATTCGTTTGTCTTCCCTATTTTTAGAAATAGGAATAAGACTGAAATTCCACGGTGCTCTGAGGCTGTATGACTCGTGCGATAGCTTAGTAACTCCCAGTCTAAAAGGACAGAAAGCAATGGTTTCTAATCACCAACCCCCTTCCTGTGATTCCCGCCGCTGCGCTTTTCTAGGCTTGTGCAATGGATCTTGCGATTTTACAGAGCTGACAGCAACCTTGTAGCAGGTAGTGGCGGGAAGTTTTAAAATCCGCAGCCGGCTTCTCAATAAAACGCGCTGACGTTTTAACAAAGAGGTAACCCACCCCCCCGCCGCCGCAAAGCATTGTGGGGATTGTAGTTCTTGTCTGCAGAACTTGGAGGGGATAAGTGAGAGTCAGATAAGTACAATTACATCTCAAGCGTGAGTCTAAACAGACGGGGAAGTTGCATGAAGCTCCGCCCTTCATTCTGCTCGCCCTCCCTCATCCTTTTTGGCTTTAACACGGGCTACAACAGGTGGATTTTAAAATTAAAGTTTGTTTTTAGGAGATACAGTTTATACAAAAGGATGAAAATGACTATCAGTTGTATAAACATGTCTTGGGAATTCATTTGCATCTTGGTGTATATTTGCACGTTAGTAGACAGCATGCTACTAGGCAATAACGGGTGGCTACTTGAGCAGAAATCCAGGAAAAAGTCATAAGCTGTTATATTGCAGACTGCAATCTATAGGCAATATTTTCAGATCTATACATTTATATTGATGACCTTATTTCTGTGTGGTTTCCCCCCCTGTATAGGCTGCAGATCAAGGTGATATGAAGCAAGAGGTGAGTTTCTTTAGTTTTAGAGTCTGTCTGAAAAAAAATCACTTGTTTTATAAACTTGACACTTGAGCAGCTAAAACCTAAATGCTGGTTAGTGTATTTGTACCATATGAGTACCAATACGGTATGCCAGTTTTCTCTCTCAGAAATAGTAGGTATTGAAAACTCCAAACTTCTTGGGACATAGGATGGTATTGTGTTTAAGATCTGGAGAGAGTGTGAACGAAAGAATTGCTTTGTCGACTTGCAAGAAAGGGCTATATTTTCATTTCTAAATATACTGTTACTAGCCATTGTGTTAATTTAGCCTAGCAATTGAAATTTAATTTGGAATTTTTTTCTTTAGCATATGAAGGGTCCAGAGAAGGGAAAAGTCAAAGCTTATGTTTTTATTTGTTCAATGATACTTTCTAATCAAGCTTACAATACTTCTTAATGACAACATATATATAGTGTTACACTAAATACTTTCACTGCAATATAAATATTTCTAGTTTTGTGTATCCATAATTTTCTTAACGGATAATTATTTTTAACTTATAGCCAAAGAGAAGATCAGCCAGACTGTCTGCTGTAAGTAGTCTTTATTTAAAAGTTGCCCGTGTATTGTAAAATGTAATTTTAGACTTCAGGGGATCCTGGACAATGTTAGTCATTTAATACAAGATTTACTTTTGATGTTTTAAGAAAAAACTTTCTCACCAAGGAAATATTTTTGTCCTAGTTTTCAGTTTGAACTACACCCATTTATTTTAATCACAAAGTTGAATTTCAGTTAGTGATCTTTCTTCAATTATGATGTCTTCTCTTTCTTCCCCCATAATTTGCAGTTGTTTTTTTTTTTTTTTTTTTTTTTGAAGGCAAGTAAGCTCTGAGGGCTAGANTTTTTTTTTTTTAGTTGCCTGTGCCCGTTATACCAGAGTTGAAGTCCAAAAGAACATCAACTCCAAGGGTAAATATTCAGCAAGCAATATTGAGAGAAACTTACTTTTCTTCAGAAATAGTTTTTTGGAAAGGCATACAGTTGATCATTTTGCTTTATTTTCTTTTCAGTTAGTCATATATTACATTATTTGTTGTTGTTGTGATTTGGTTGCTAGGTCGTGTCTGAATCTTTTGCAACCCCATGGGCTGTAGCTCACCAGGCTCCTCTATCCATGGAATTTCCCAGGCAAGAATACTGGAGTGGGTTGCCATTTCCTTCTCCAGGGGATCTTCCCAACCCACGGATCAAACCTGCCTCGCCAACACTGTCAGGCAGATACTTTACCACTAAACCACCAGGGAAGCCCCATATTACATTATACATCATACCATATGGTACATGTCAGCCCTTTGAGTAGGAAATATTTGTTTGTGTTCTGTGGTTGTCTATTGTGTATTGACATTTTCCCTAGGAAGAGACAAAACAAAAGTTTAGTTGGATAGGCCCATAAAATGTACATGCTTTTGACTTCATACAGTTACAATACCAACATTCCTGGGAAAACACAAGGTGTAAACTATAGGAACCAAAGTAATGTTTTGTGATAATAATAGTAACTAACTTTTGATAATACTGAACAATTTCCAAAGTGCTTCCACATACATTATTTCCAAATGCACACAATTGATTTCATATAGGCTTCTATGTTCTGGTGTTGTGGCTAGAAAAATATTAAAAATAGAAATAGCCTCAATATTAAGCTTACTTTCCCCCCTATATTTACTTTTATTTACATGTAAATGTTTGTGAATATAATATGATTTTATTTCATTTTAGAATTCTTTATTGAGGCATTGTTGATGTTTTAAGGATAGGTGGAATTCTTTAATTTTATTTTATTTTTAATTGGAGGACAATTACATTATGATATTGTGATGGTTTCTGCCATACATTAACATGAATCAGCCACAGGTATACATATGATATATGTCCCCTCCCTCTTAAACCCCTCCTCCCTCCCCATCTCACCCCTCTAGGTTGTCTTAGAGCACTGGCTTTGGGTTGAATTCTTAACATCAGAAAACATTAAGACTAGCAGAAACGTTAGAAATCATCTAATCCCATAATTTTATGATTGAAGAAACTACATTACAGTTGTATTCATAAAATGCTTTGAAATCCTTGATTAAAAGACCTTGCTAAAACTATGGCCATAGTTTGATTAATCATAGTAAATGACAACAGAAGAGAAAGTTTCTATTTGGTTTTTCTCTATTTCACATTTCAAGGTCACTATTTATAAAATTAAATACTCAACTTATAATTTGTTAAAATAGTAAACACTGTTTATTTCTTCTTTTTAAAAAAGTGCTAGAATAAAACATAATATAAAAACACTTCACCCTCCTTGGCTCTCAGTTTCTCATGTGATAAAAGGATAATAACACATCATATTGCATTTTACAGTTTCCAAAGTAATTTCACATATATTTTATCATTTGCTTCATACAACATCCTGGTAGGTAGGTGATATTACTCTCTCTTACATTTGAAAAAATAAACACAGAGAAAATTATGCTTTTGCTCAAGGTCACATCAAACAAGAAACAGATCCAGATTTAAAACACATGTTCGCTGGCCCCTTAATCCAGTGCCCTTTCTACCACATACACACATAGGGCAAAGAAATCATGATTCAAATCATTCTAAAACGTGTAGCCCTATATATTGAATCACTAATATCCCCAAGTGATCTCTTTCAAATGTATTTAAATTGGTGCTCTCCCTAACTTAGTATTTTTCTTGATTATTAACAATGGAGGCTCTGCAATCAAAAACCCTATTTCTAATTGTTAGACATGACAGGGATAAACTGGTCCCCTCTAATCAAAGTAATTAATTCATCAAATTTTAACCTGATGCTGGCAATTGGCCCTGAGTAGCTACTGGTCAGCATTCTAACTTGTTGCTTCTCATCTGAGAGAAACTTTGATTTATATCAGAGTAATAGTACTCATTTTAATGCCATTTCAAGTTTATAATGACACTGAAAGTATTTTAAAGCTTTTCCATAAACTATTACAACACCTGGTAAAATAATCGTGCCATTTAATCAACATACCAATTAAATTCTGTATTTATTTTTTATTGTTTTGTGTTTCTGGACAGAAAATGAAGACCAAAAATGATATGATGGGAAAAGACACAGATGCAATTGCCGAAACCATAGCTGAAACGAAGAAAGAAGTTGTTAAAGAATACAACAATGAAACTGCTGAAAATGGAGGAGCAAAAATTATAGAGGTACATTCCATTTGTCCATTTGAAAGTTTAACAATGGATTCAACTGAAAGAAATCTTGTTTGCCTTGTAGTTTAAAAGTTGAGAAATATTAAATGAGTATGACTCCATAGTGTCTTAGTCTGTTCAGGTTGCTGTAACAAAATACCACAGATTGGGTGGCTTATAAACAGCAGAAATTTATTTCTCACAACTGTGAAGGCTGGGAAGTCAGTCAGGCTTTGGCAATACGTGAACCGTGAACTTCCAGATGTTCAAGCTGGTTTTAGAAAAGGCAGAGAAACCAGAGATCAAATTGCCAACATCCACTGGATCAACGAAAAAGCAAGAGAGTTCCAGAAAAACATCTATTTCTGCTTTATTGACTATGTCAAAGCCTTTGACTCTGTGGATCACAATAAACTGGAAAATTCTGAAAGATATATGAATACCAGACCACCTGACCTGCCTCTTGAGAAGCCTGTATGCAGGTCAGGAAGCAACAGTTAGAACTGGATATGGNTGATGTTGAAGCTGAAACTCCAGTACTTTGGCTACCTGAGGCGAAGAACTGACTCGTTTGAAAAGACCCTGATGCTGGGAAAGATTGAGGGCAGGAGGAGAAGGGGACAACAGAGGATGAGATGGTTGGATGGTATCACTGACTCAATGGACATGATTTTGGGTAGACTCTGGGAGTTGGTGATGGACAGGGAGGCCTGGCATGCTGTGGTTCATGGGGTCGCAAAGAGTCAGACACGACTGAGCAACTGAACTGACCTGAACTGAACAGAAGACCTGCTTCCTGGTTTATGGATGGCAGTCTTCTTGCTGTGTCCTGACACCATAAAAAGGGTGAGAGAGCTCTCTGGGGCCTCTTTTATAAGGACATAAATCCCTTTCATGAGGGCTCTACCCTCATGACCTAATCACCTCCCATTGGCCTCACTTCCAAGTACCATCACTTTGGAAATTAGGTTTCATCATATGAATTTTGAGGGACACATACATTCTGTGTACATCATATAGTATAGTGGTAAATAAGAGGAAAAGAAAGAAAATGAATTTAAAATTTGAGAATTTTCAGGAATGGGTATGGGAGCAATGGGTTAGCACTTATATCAATAGAACAATGCCAATGATCATGACTTAATAATCTAATGACTGTCTTCTTAAATATAGACTGATCCTCTATAACTTTTGTCAGTACGTGGGCTATTTGTAAATCCCTTTTTGAGATCATATGAGTCTTTTTCCCTCTTCAGATTGCAAAGCAAATCAGTACGTTTATGTTTCCAATAGGTCTTGCTTTGCATATTTATCTTACCACATTTCTCAGTATTATAGTTAAAACAATGAAAATGGGATTTAGTGCCAAATCTATAAATCAAACCTGTGCATATAGGGAAAATCTTTTGTAACTGATCCTATGATATCTGGTAAAAGACTTTTCAACTAACTTTTTACAAAGTAAACCTAAATATCACCAATATAGAAATAAAATGTATTATTTCTTCAAGAAATATATTTTGTATATGTATCTACTACTCATTGAGAATTATTGATAGAGAATATGTCATTTTTTCTGTATTTACTGTTTCCTCATATTTGTAATAAAAATTATTTATATGAATAGGTTTTTCCAAATTTATTGTTCCAAATGTCTATTTGTGCATGATTATGTAGAGATACTTTCATTAATCCTATTTCATATGCTTCCTTTTGACATGTTGTTTAGGAGGCCTTTTCCACAGGGAAAGTGCTTTATTTAATAAGATAGCTATAATTCTGTCTTGGTTCCAAATTTACAAATCTTGGTTTTTCTTCTATATTCATTATAGGCACCAGTTCCTGAAAGAGAAATAGAGGAAATAAAAGAAGAAAAAATTGAAGATATCAAAGAAGAAGGAGAAGAAAAGAAAGAGGTAGTGGCAAAAGATGGAAAAGAAGATGAAAAAGGAGATGGAGATCAAAATAAGGAAGAAGTGAAAGGAAAAGATATAGAGGAGGACAAAGATGGAAAAGGGAAAGAAGATGAAAAAAAAGATGAGGGGAGAAAAGAGAAAGAAGAAGATGGGAAAGAGGAAGAAGATAAAGAAACTGGAGAGGGAGAAGAGGGAAAAGATAGAAAAGGGAAAGGAGAAGATGACAAAGTGGAAGAAGATGAAAAAGAAAAAAGAGATAAAAAAGAGAATGAAGATGGGAAGGGGAAAGAAGATGGCAAAGAATCTGAAGATGGAAAAGATAAAAAAGATGGGAAAAAAGGAGAAGATGGAAAAACGGATGAAGATAGAAAAAGGGATGATGGTGGAAATGAGAAGGAAGATGAAAAAAATAAAGAAGGAAAAGAGAAAGAAAATGGAAAAGAAGATGGAGGAGATGGAAAAGATGAAAGCAAGGCTGAAATTGGAAAAGAAATAACCAAAAGAGAAGAGGTCAAAAAAGAAGATGGAAAAAAAGAAGAGTCTCAGAGTATTGCTTAAAGCTGCCCTATATGGTTTCATAGTTTGGTAATATGTACCTCTATGTTGCAATGTTAATAGAGATGAATATTTTTATCAAATATTTTATAGACACAGCTTTTCTTTAACATCAATTTAGTTTCAAAACATCTTCATACTGTTCATTAATCTCAAAGTTCCCAACACTGAATTATTATCGATAAGCTTTGTGATTATAATGGTGGAATATATACAAAAAGTATGCTTTCAACTTCATCAGTGAATACCCTTTTCTGTAATTTATGTTAAATCTTTGAATTTTAATTTTACTCCTATATGTGATAATCTCACAAAATGGAGAGATCTCAAAAGAATTTCCTCAAAAATTCTTGTGGTTCTCCAGGTTGTTTTTATAAAGAAAGTGAACTATTTTCATGTAATGGTAAGAGTTAGAATTATCTTTCCCAAATATAGCTTTGATATTACTTGGGAAAAATGCAATTGAAATTCCATTTTTAAAAGAAATATAAATGTTTATTTCAGAATGGAAGTTCTGATAATATGTGTATTTACAACATTTTATTGGATTTATCTTAATAAAAATTATCTTCAACGATGAAAAAAAAAGAAAGAAAATTCCATCAAACATTCGGAGAACATCTAATGCTATTCCTTCTAAAACTCTTCAAAAAATTGCAGAGGAAGAAAGAGGAAAATGACAGGCTAATATCACTGATGAACATAGATGGAAAATCCTCAAGAAAATTTTAGCAAACAGAATTAAGCAACACATCAAAAAGCTCATACATCATGATCAAGTTTAGTTTATTCCAGGGATGCAAGGATGCTTCAATATACACAAATCAATCAATGTGATACACCATTGTTAACAAATTGAAATATAAAAACCATACGATAATCTCAATAGATGCAGAAAAAGACTTTGGCAGAATACAACAGCCATTTATGATTAAAACTCTTCAAAAATGTGCATAAAAGGAAACTATCTCCATATCAGTTCAGTTCAGTTCAGTCACTCAGTCATGTCCGACTCTTTGTGACCCCAGGAACTGCAACACGCCATGCCTCCCTGTCCATCACCAGTTCCTGGAGTTTGCTCAAACTCATGTCCATTGAGTTGGTGATGTTATCCAACCACCCATCACACCATCCTCTGTTATCCCCTTCTCTTCCCACCTTCAATATTTCCTGGCATCAGGGTCTTTTCAAATGAGTCAGCTCTTCATATCTGGTGATAAAAGTATTGGAGTTTCAGCTTCAGCATCAGTCCTTCCAATGAATATTCAGAACTGATTTTCTTTAGGATGGGCTGGTTGGATCTCCTTGCAGTCCAAGGGACTCTCAAGAGTCTTCTCCAACAACACAGTTCAAAAGCATCAATTCTTTGTCACTCAACTTTCTTTACAGTCCAACTCTCACATCCATACATGACCACTTGGAAAACCATAGCTTTGACTAGAGGCACCTTTGTTGACAAAGTAATGTCTCTGCTTTTTAATATGCTGTCTAGGGTGGTCATAACTTTCCTTCCAAGGAGTAAGTGTCTTTTAATTTCATGGCTGCAATCACCATGTGCAGTGATTTTGGAGCCCCCCCAAGAAAATAAAGTCAGCCACTGTTTCCACTGTTTCCCCATCTTTTTGCCATGGAGTGATGGGACCGGATGCCATGACCTTAATTTTTGAATGTTGAGCTTTAAGCCAAATTTTCACTCTCATCTTTCACTTCCATCAAGAGGCTCTTTAGTTCTTCACTTTCTGCCATAAGGGTGGTGTCACCTACATATCTGAGATTATTGATATTTTTCCCGGCAATCTTGATTCCAGCTTGTGCTTTCTCCAGTTCAGTGTTTCTCATGACGTACTCTGCATATAAGTTAAATAAGTAAGGTGACAATATATAGCCTTGACGTATTCCTTTTCCTATTTGGAGCCTATTTGGAACCTCCACATAATAAAGGCCAGATATGATAAGCCTACAGCAAACATTATTCTGAATGGTGAAAAACTGAAAGCATTCACCCTAAGATCAGGAATAAGATAAGGGTGTCCACATTCAACACTATTATTCAACATAGTTCTGGAAGTTCTACACACAGCAATCAGAGAAGAAAAAGAAATAAAAGGAATCCAGATCAGACAAGAAGAAGTAAAGCTCTCCCAGTTTGCAGAAAACATGATACTGTGCATAGAAAAACCATAAAGATATTATCAGAAATTACTAGAGTTAATCAGTGAATATAGCAAAGTTGCAGAATACAATATCAATACACAGAAATCACATGCATTTCTATATACTAACAATGAAAAATAAGAAAGAGCAATTAGGGAATCAATTCCATTCTCCATTGCAACAAAATTAATTAAATATTTATTAATAAACTTACCTAAGGAAACAAAAGAACTATACACACAAAATTATAATACACAAATAAAAGAATCAAAGATGACATAAACAGATGGAGAGATATTCCATGTTCCTTGGTAGGAAGAATCAATATTGTGAAAATGAGTATACTATCAAATGCAATCTACAGATTCAATGTGAAACCTATTAAATTACCAATGGCATTTTTCACAGAACTAGAACAAAAAATTTTCACAATTCATATGGAAACACAAAAGACACTGAATAGCCAAAGCAGTCTTGAGGAAGAACAATGGAGCTGGGGGACTTCACCTTCCTGACTTCAGATTATACTACAAAGCTAAAGTCATCAAAACTGTATGGTACTGGCACAAAAGCAGAAATATGGCCAATGGAGCAAGACAGAAAGCCTAGAAATAAACCTGTGCACCTATGGGTACCTTATTTTTGACAGAGGAGGCAAGAATATGCAATGGGGAAAAGACAGCTTCTTCAATAAATGGTGCTGGGAAAATGGGACAGCTACATGTAAAAGAATGAAATTAAAACACTTTGTAATGGAGATACACAAAGATAAACTCAAAATGGATTAGAGACCTAAATATAAGACCAGAAACTATAAAACTTTAAGAGGAAAACAAGCAGAACACTCGATGACAAAAATCAAACCAAGATCCTTTATGACCCACCTCCTAGAGCAATAAAAACAAAAGTACACAAGTGGGACCTAATTAAACTTCAAAGCTTTTGAACAGCAAAGGAAGCTCTAAGAAAGAAGAAAAGATAACCCTCAGGATGGAAGAAAATAATAAGCAAATGAAACAATTGACAAAGGATTAATTTCCAAAATATATAAGCAGCTCACACAATTCAGTATCAGAAAAACGAACAACCCAAAGCAATCTATAGATTCAATGAAATCCCTATCAAGATACCAATGGTATTTTTCACAGAACTAGAACAAATAATTCCACAATTTGTATGGAAATACAAAAAACCTCAAATAGCCAAAGCAATCTTGAGAAAGAAGAATGGAACGGGAGGAATCAACCTGCCTGACTTCAGACTATACTACAAAGCCACAGTCATCAAGACAGTGTGGCACTGGCACAAAGATGAAAATATAGATCAATGTAACAAAATATAAAGCCCAGAGATAAATCCACATACCTATGGACACCTTATCTTCGACAAAGGAGGCAAGAATCTACAATGGAAAAAAAACAACCTCTTTAAAAAGTGGTGAGGGGAAAACTGGTGAACCACTTTTAAAAGATTGAAACTAGAACACTTTCTAACACCACACACAAAAATAAACTCAAAGTGGATTAAAGATCTAAATGTAAGAACCGAAACTAACAAACTCCTAGAGGAGAACATAGGCAAAACATTCTGTGACATAAATCACAACAAGATCCTCTATGACACACCTCCCAGAATATTGGAAATAAAAGTAAAAATAAACAAATGGGACCTAATGAAACTTAAAAGCTTTTGCACAACAAAGGAAACTATAAGCAAGGTGAAAAGACAGCCTTCAGATTGGGAGAAAATAATAGCAAA